CGAAACAAATACTTCTGTGTAATTCAGTGTTCATATAGAAGTATTTGTTTCGAAAGAATTTTTTTCTTTCGTGTAATTTAATGTTTATATAAAAGTAGATGTTTCAGGAGGGCTTTTTCTTCCAGTTTGTGTCTGAAAGTTACTTCTTTGCATGATTTACACATCAATGTATAGTTACTTCTTTTAAAATTGATTGCTTTCTTCCTTCCTATGGAAATTCCCACATTGTTTTGTATGAAGCACCAAACTCGATAAATTTGTGCAAAAAATCACATTGCGAGGCTTCCTGTTATTCTCATGTCAAATGCCTTTTCAACCTGTGGTCCATCCAATGATAATCACCAAGAGCCATTAGACGCTAGCTTTTTTCGAATTAAATTACTGTTAGAGGTGGACATTATATTGCCGTCGAACTAGAACATACTGAGTTGAAGATGGAAACAGCTTCTAAATTTAGAACTCCATATATGAAATTATCCTTTGAGGTTGTCTAGAGTACACAACGGTATTCTGTAATCATTCTTGTTTGATGGGCACAGCTTAGCAAATATAATACTGATGATAGATACACAATGTAATGCCGACAACCGACATAATGAAGTAGAACGCCTTTCATGGTTTTAGATGTGGATGTATGTCCTTTTGAGTTCAGATCGGTGTGGAAATTTTCCTTGCTGAAATTCCTGATAAGCGTTTTTGAAAGCGACTTTCAACGAAGTCGGCGTCGGATACAGTTGAAGCGATATATTATTTGCAAAATGTTCGAAAAATATTAGTTCGATCCTTCTTGTATGAAGTTATCGAAGTCGGCAAAAAAAATTGAAAAACTGATAAAATTAAAGAAGAAGGACTAGGCAGTTATAAAAGTTTACTTCTGACAAAATAATTTTTTTCAAATCTCCGAAAGTATCAAAAAGAATTGCCTTTTTCGCAGTAATGACCAGTAGTCGATGGAACCTAAAGTACCAAACGTATGTGCTATGTACGTTGACTGCGAGAACGAAGGTTATATCTCTGATCTCTAAGTCTCAGCAACTACTGACTGGTGAGCTACGTTATCACCATCAACCCCACCGCTATAATGATGTTGGGGGGAGATTGCAAGTATGCTGGTGGGGGAGTCTATCAGCACCCCAACAATTCGAATAGAGAAGAATAAGAAGGTATATGGTCAACAGAACAACCAAGTTACTGTAGGACCAAACAGAACGACCCAGCAAAAGTGCCGATCTATCAGGAGTGAGCTTTTGCACGAACACCCCACCATCACCACCTCCCCTAGCATAACCCCTCCACCCTCTGAAATTATAAATACGAGTGAACAAATACCTCGCCAGTCAGTCGTTGCTGAGACTTCGAGATAAAACCTTCGTCCTCGCGGTCATCACTTACAACTACTGATAATGTTTGCCGCAGTAGCAGACGAAACGTTTGGTACGTCAGGTTCCATTCGACCACGGCCTACCAGCCCTGATTTTGTTACATTTAATTCACTTGCGTATTCATAATATTAAGTGATATACTTGCTGGGTAGAATTGGATCCTCTGTTGTGAAATTATCTTGATAAAATTACTTTTCCCACAACAGAAGATAACTTAAAAGATGACTGCAACTATTAGCCGTCTCCTCGTGATGTTAACTTGGTTAAGGTACGTTTTCCTAGCGACCAATTTTTAGTACTGTGGTCGACGTGATTCTGAAGGAATCTATTACGTTGTGAGCTGCATGATTTACTTTGTTTTGATTAAATAAGTAGTTGTTTTGAAAGGGCCATTTCTTACAGTTAATATATGACAGAAACTTCTACGTATGATCTACACATTTTTGTAAAAAGTTTATTTTGAACCGAATTACTTTCTTCCTTCCCACGGAAGTTTTCCACATGGAGAAGTAGAACTCAAAAGCTTTATTTCCCAAAAACTATTCTCTCCAAAGAAATATACATCTTCTATCTAGAAATACAATTTCTTTTGCTGTGGCACATAGAAGATAATTCCGTTGAGCCAAATAATAAATTTCAACACGTTCTATTTTACTAGAGACCTCACATATAAATGGTAAATTATTTGAACACCTAAAAAGTTGCCAATTTTAAAATTTTTCACTAATGTTACTGCAGTATAACAACAGTTCAACATTGAATTCGAAATAAACCAATCAATTCGGTAAAAAAAAAAGAGAGAGAAGAACAAAATAACCAGAAAGAAACTAGAAATATTTCGTTAATGGCAAATCAGTACTGAATTCAAAATTTTACTAGTTCTAACTTCTATTGTCCAATATGATTTGAAATCTCTGAAAGAACAAATACAATTAAAAATTGAAATGAATAGCTAAAAATAACAATTACATTAAGCAATGAACCGTGAAATGAAATTACAATAAAATAAAAATAGATAAAAAATTGAACAGTTAAAAATGAAATAAAATTAAAAAGATTTCAAACCAAGTTACTTCACGATGTTTCGTTTGTTAGTATCCACAATCGTCTTCGCGTGATGACCGGACTATTCCTCCGAGAAATGACTATTAATAGGTCATTCGAACACTTTCACTTATCACCTTTCCCCTCTTCCCTCCCTCCGCTTCTCCGGTTCAGAGGGAGTTCAGCGGTTTTTCGTTTGATTGAAGGTTTTCATATGTTGCGTATCTCTACACTAGCTAAGCTGAATCCGTCATTGGACAACATATATGCAGCTTCTTTGAACTTCCTCTTAAGCCAGTGTTTTTCCTTGTAGATGATCTCAGCTTGTGACCACTTGATATTATGTTGATGAGACCAAACATGCTCTGGACTTCCAATGGCCTCTTAGTTTCACCGATATAGGATTTGCCGCACTCACAGGGTATCCGGTACATGTAATTCTTGGAATCGCAATCTAGGTTCGATGGCCTGGTTTTCGTGAGGCTGCTACGGATGGTGTTTCCAGATCTGAAGCAGGTTCTGATGTTGTACTTGGACTCAATTCTTCTTATCCTTTCCGACAATCCTCTGATGTAGGGAAGAGCATACACTGGTTGTGATGGCTTATCTTTCTGCGATGATCTTGCTGTCTTCCAGCCGAAATCTGTTCCACCATCACTTCGGAGTAACCATTCGTTAAAGATCTTTTTTGATAATGGCTAGTTCCTTCTCGTTAGCTTCCCTAGTATTAGATACAAAGCCCGAAAGCACGATCCATTAGAGTCTTTTTG